AAGTTTTAGGATTTGTGAGCCAAGCAGCAAAATGAAAATTATTATGTAGGTACTTATATATCAATTTTAAAAAAAACCTCCCAACATGTTATTGTTGAAATCCAAAGGTATAATTCTGTTAGTCATACGGCCTATCATAACAAAATACCAAAGACTGGTTGACTTAAACTGTAGAAGTTAATTCCTTACACTTATGAATTTTGGAAATCAGAAAAAAAATCATAGAAGGCATAGAAGGTTTTTCTCCTTGGGCTTCTCTCCCTGGCTTACAGATGGCTGCTTTCACCCCATGTCTTCTCATGGCCATGGTCCACCTTGGAGTCTTTCTCCCTTCTTATAAAATCAGAAGTCTTATAATTCTATCATCACAATCTTGTTTAACCTAACTATCTTTTTAAGGGCCTATTTCCAAATACTGTAACTTTGGGGTTTTGAGACTGCAACATATGAATTTTGAGGTAATGCAATTCAATAAAGAACAATACTAAAAATAGCAGTAATTGAATAAAAATGTTGTAACATGGTTCTGCTATTGAGAAAAGGTCTTTTTGAGGGAGATAATTTTATTCAATTAGGATTCAAAGTTATTGCTTGGAATGAGATTTCTTCATTTTTAAAAATATCTTTTCACACAGATATGATGTACATTCAATATTTGAAATGCCATATTATTACTGTGTAATAATTACTAGGATGTGCAATGTAAGTGTAGGAATGAAGAAAGGAACGCAGGCAAGCACAGGAACAGTAAGAACATGCTGTTTTGCTCTCAAGCAATGATTCTCTATTTCATTGCAAGCACCAATGAGTCTACATTGTTAGAACTAACAGAAGAATAATGAAAGTGGGATACACTATCAAATACAATTAAATTTCCACATGTTAAATTGATGCAGTGACTCCGAATATATCATTAATATAAATTAAGGTAGGTAATATGCAATACAATTGATTAAAGTTAGAATATGAATTAATATAAATCTATATTGCTATTCTATTCAAAAAGTAGCCCTATATATTGTTTCTGTCAAGTGATCACCCCAGTGTTTGCACCTAGTTAATTGAGTTTTCTAAAATCTTGCCTTTATTTTATCTTGATGTATTTTAGTCTAATTTTTTAAAATAACTAACTTGCTTTTAAACTTACTACATTTTAATCTTTTAGCCACATTATGTAAAGGTTTTTAGCCAACTGTTTGTATATTTGAATGCAACAAATTTTCAACATCCATAGAAATTTAAAACTTAAGTATAATGCTTATCATAAGTATATTTGAAATTAGTATAATAAAGAAATGCAAAAAATGTAGCTAAATTGTTTATAAACTGATCATTTACTATGAGTTGCATAGAAAGAAACCCTCCTAAAAAAGGAATTTCAACCTTGGTTTAGGAATTACACCCAATACAGTTATTTTTTTACCTTAAATCAGACAAACATATTATAATGAAACATCTTAATGATTAGTAGTAATTCAAAAATTTTTGAATAACAGTAAGAAACAAACCAAATATATGCCAAAGCACAGAGGTTTTTTCAATAATATAATCATTTTCAAGAGCCAAGTACATTCTATTATAAATTTTAATTAACCATCAGCATAATCAATATCTTTTTAGTCTCATAAAATATATAAATAAAGTCTTATTTAGCCAATAAATATTATGATACTTGAATTTAACTTAGGGGCTATTTTTAAAGAATTATAATTTAGATTTTATAACATTATTTCAAAGTCCCCAATTTAAATACAAAGTTTTCAAAACATAAGAAATATAAAAGAAATGATTTCTGAATAAAACAACCCTACCAAAGTTAAGATAGGATGTGGTCTACAAAGCAGTGCAGGACATGGATTTTCTTAAAGTTATATTTTATGGACTACAATAAAACTGTGAAATTATTTAGAAGTAGACCTGAAATAAACAACTATATGCCATAATATTTCACTTCACGTGGGACACATAAAAGCTTTCCATCATTGTCAACATTTTCTAATATTTCATACAGAACCTCTCAACATTGGAGATGAAAATAAACTCTCTCTTTGAAAGTTATATTGTTGAAATTTTGATTTGGAGACTAGAAAAAAATATCGTCCCAGTATTTTATATTAAAATTAAATATTGCTATCTTTTAAAGTTAAACATGATATTGAATTATTTTTTGACGTTTACTACAACTGTATATAGTATCCATTAAACATGCTACACATAGCCTTTCAATTCAGCCAGCTTCAAAGTCTCCACACAATATTTTTACCAAAACTCATGGCACTCATGTGTTTTTTGGACTTACATGAGATGGTCAAATTATATGGTGAGTTCTTAAATTTTAAAAAAATTACAACAAAAGATGCATTACTACTAATCACCCTCAAGATACTCCCTTTCTCTTAAAGCATACTTATCTAATCATTCTTGCAATTTTCTGAAGCAATTCTGAAGTATTCTGTTGTGAGTGTCTTTAGGAGGTGTGAAAATAATATAGTAAATGCTGCGATCAAGAGCCTTCCAGTGGAAAGGGATGCTTGTAAAAACGTTATGGCCGGTCCTCATCCATCTTTTTGACTGGATTTAGCACTACCTGACTTCTGGCTCTTTGTCAAAGTAAAAATGACCACAAGAGATAAATATTTTGAATCAATTCCAGACATTGAGGTAGCCACAACAGCACAACTGAAGACTGAGGAAAAGATCTTCAGGAGTGCTTCAGAAACTGGTAAGAATAATGGGAAAAGTACGTTTGAAGAAAGGAGGAGTATTTTGAGGGTGACTAATAGCAATGTAGGTTTTATTCTAATTTTTCTTTTACTTTGAAAGTTCACCCTATTTTTCACACAAAAACTATATGTTGTAGAGTTGCAATTATCATTGTATAGATTCCAATAATGTTGCAATGTGAAAAAAAGAAATTTTTCTGTTCAGAAGATTGTATTGTGTGCTGTGTAGTAACCATAGCTGAGAATCACTGTACCAGTACACAATTTTACTATTTTCAAAATATTCAAAATAAAACATATTCAGTCATCCTTTACTCAAAGACAGGGAACATAATATTTTGTGGACATTATATTATTTAATCCTTGTAAGCATAATAGGGGATATTATTTTTCTTGTTTGTTTTGGTGTTTTGGTTTTTTTTTTCGCTTTTTTAAAGTACAGAAAAACCTTTATTGGAAATCTCTGAATACATTTTGAAGTACAGCTCAGTTACTTCCCAAGGAGGCTGGAGGAGGAGGAACTGTGCCAACTGGAGACAGATGGGTCCTGGCCCTGGTGGGCACTTTGGGAGTTGGTCTAGGGCTCTGTCACATGGGGCTGAGGGCTGGGACCAGCCTTGACATCGCTTTGCTCCTCCTGGCCCAGCTCAAGGTCAGGGCTCAACTTCCCTGGCCTCTTCATGGATGGGATCCTGGAGAACGGCTGGGGCCCATAGAGGCCATAATCAGGGCAGCAGAGGACAGTGGGGACCACCATTTTCATGCAAGCCTCAGGCAGAGGGTGGTGGCTGGCTAGGCTCCCTGGCCCAGGCTGGAGCTGGGGCATCTGACTGGTTCCACAGCTGCTGTGGATGCACCCTGGCTGAAGCAGGAGGGCCAGCTGGCCACCACCAATGTGACTTTCCTGGGGCAGCGGAAGCAGGCACAGCCAGGTCTCCCCTCAGAGCCTGCTCTGCCTCAGAGCTAGCCTTGTGGGTGGGAAGGGTGTCACATGCAATTCACTGACAAGCAATCAAGGGCTGCCTGCCCCACTGAAGAACAGCTGCTGCCAGGGAGTACAAGGGCAGCAGCCTGGGCTAGCAGGTGGGCACCTGATCGACTCAGGTGAGCACCTGAAAGTTGCAGTCAGGTGCCAGCCCACCTTTAGTTTCTCCACAGGGGATCAGCCCAGGGCAGTGTCACACCCAAGCAGCAGGAGGATCAGAAGGCGCCCCAGCCACATGCAATGCCCCCTAGGCACTGCAGGGGGCACCACTCTGGATCCTCACATTACCATCCAAGACTTCCTGGGCTTCCGGAACTGACACAGTTGGACAGGAGCTGAGAGACTGAGTGACGCCAGGAAAGCCAATCCTGGATGGGGTGGTCCTGAGCTGGGGCTCTGGTCTCCGCTGGCCCGTTCTTGGCTCCTGCCCTGTGCACAGGGGCAGGGAGATCCTCAGAGCAGCAGACAGGGTTCTGGGGACCTTCCTGAGCAGCAGGCCTCCGCCCCAAGGAAACAGCTACCTCCAGTGGGTTTTCTCTATAAAATATCTGATTTCTCTGAAACTAATAAATATGTACCATTCCTATAACCAAGGAGCAGCAAAGGGGAGGGAGGGGAAGGAAAGACCTTCACCGGGACTCTGGATGACAGAATCCTAGGGACATGGGATTCAGAGCTGAGGAGCTAGGCACAGGCAGCCACCAGGGCTGCACAGACCCCAAGGAAGGCCTGGCACAACTGTTCTGAGGGACAACTGCCACTGGAGTTGTCACTATAGGCAGGCAGGCCCATCATATTGCCAAAAACACAGGCATGGGGCAGAGAGCAAGAGGAAGCCAGGCCTGGGAGCTGGGGAGAGACAGCCCCAGGACCCCCTCTTCCTCCTGGCACTGCCTGGTTCCTCTTTCTGCCTGCACCACCTCAGCCAACAGCGAGAATGTCAAGTGGTTGATGGCCAGGACAGGCAGGCAGAAAGCAGAAGTGGTCAATACCCTTTGTAACGCAGTCAGTGACGGGTGGGGTGCACAGATGGCTCTGCAGAGGCCCTTTTTACAAAGTGTCTTCCTCCTCCAAGGCCAGAGGGAGTCCTCCCAGCCACAGTCACAGGGTCTCCACGAGGTGGAAGGGAGGGGCTTCAGGGTCACCCCAGAGAATCGTCCTGCTGTCCACCTGGCTAGGAGCACGAGAGGGATGGGAGCAGCTCTAGCCCCCGGGACCACAGAAAGGGGGTGCTGCTGGTACTGGAGGCTACCTTTACTGCAGGGTTAGGCATCAAATTCTCGAAAGTTCTTTTAGTGCACAGCCAGCTTTTCAGGTAGGGAGTCCAAGTCTTCTGTCATGGACTGGGCTCCAATGTCTACGGAGAGGCTGCTCAGCTGAGGGTGATTCTGAAACTCACTGTAGAAGGTCCCCAAGTCCATCGGAAGGATGTCGTCTTTAGAAAAAGCTGGTTTGAAGTCGATCATGACGAAGTCATCGTGGGGGTTGCCGCTGCTGCCCTCACTGGAGCCCTCGGAGTGCAGGCTGCTGTGGAGAGGAGACACAGCTTCTGGGGAGTCTGAGGGGCTCACCTGGTTGATGGGTTTGTTGACAAAAACCCCCACTTTCCGGACAAAGATGGTCTCCAAGACATTGTGGGGGTAGGCCGGGCCCTCACTGCTGTTGGAGACGGTTTCGGTGCCCTCACTGCTGGAAGGTGTGGAGGCACAGTGGGGCCCATCCGAAGGGGTGTGGATCGCCAATCTCTCCTGGTCAGCCTGGGCACCATGGGTTGGCTGGCTGGGAGCGACAGGCACTCCCCACTCCTTCCCAGGAACCATCAGCTGCGATGGCGGGGAGGTGGAGAACGAAGTGGTGCACAGTTCCTGAGAGTCTTCCACCGACAAGTACACTCCACCAGCATCCTCACCAGCGATCCTGTAGATGAAGGGGTGTCTTGGAGAAGAGCTGGGGTAGGGGTGGTCCACAAAGTGATCGATAATGATCCCCATGGTAGGAGGGGTCCTGTCAAATTGCCTGGTGGACATGAATGCCAAATTGATTCTGTAAGCACAAGAAAGAGTGATGGTGCCCACAGGGGTGCCCACTGTCCCAACTCGAACTGCCTGAAAGCCTTCTCCTAAACCATTCAGCTGAACTTCCCCAAAGTATATCCTGTACAGTATGACATATTCATGCCCCTGCTTTCTGGAGAGCCTGTAGGCTGGTGTGACCCTCGTGATAGAAAGAAGGGACTTGAGCAGCAGGGACAGTCTGTTGTATATGGTGTAGGAAACTTTGATTTCTTTATCACACTTTTCGTTCATTTCAAGACACCAAATCTCCAGCTCCATGGAATCTCCCTCTGAGGTCTTGAGCGAGATTTTGCACACATGGACCACCCAATGGCAGGCAGCTGCCCTGCCAGTGCCTTCTTTGCTTCATGGGTGACCTCCGGGTTATCTTTGATCAGTAAGTTAAACCAGTCTGAACCCGTTGGGGATGAAGATGAACGAGTTGAAATCTTTTCACCTAGTCGACCCTGGACAATCACTTGGACAGTCTTGAGGGCAAAAAATTTAATGAACTTGTCCAGGTGCTTTCTGTCCTGGGAATTGAGATCAGTTTCCATTGCCTATAGGAATCCAGAGATTTATTAATGGGAACGGATCGCAGGTTTCCACGGGTCATTCCACTGCCAGTAAGAAGATAGTCGTGAACCTTGGGTTCCTTTTTCACTAGTCAACAGTCACCCTCATCTGAGAAGCTGTGGCACAGAGAGCAGCTAGGAGCTCTCATTACGGAGGCTGGGGCCCGGGGCCGGCCTGCCTCTCCTCCTGGCTGAGGTTCTGTTTCCCTGGACTGCAATGACAGCTGATCAAAGACAGACACCTCAAGCCTCAGGAGGCTCCTGGCTCGCAGTCTCCAGGCGTTTTGCTCTCCGGACTGAGCAAGTTGTCACACTCACGTCTTGTCTTCTTCAGGGCTCCTCTCTTCGGTCAAGCGATCACTCCTGCCTTAACTCAGCAGCCGTCGCTCCCCAGAGCCGCCATCGTTAGTGTTCGGGATATCATTTTTCTTGTATCCTAGAAAAACAGGCTGAAGTTTAAAGGAGTTTAACATGTCGGCCAGGCTGGCCTTGAACTCACTATGTAGCCAAGGCTGACTTTTAACTCAGGATCTTCCCGCTTCAGCCTTCTGAGTACTGGAATTATGCATGAGCCAACATGCCCAACTAGAAGTGTAATAATTTTAGAGGTTATAAAATTTAAAACTCCTGAATAATTTTTATGTTATGACTTTATCTTTTAAGAAAGAGATTCACTTGATGATGATCTTGGGTCACAAATGAAAAATCCTTCAGAAAATGTTATTGTTGACCTTGGATTACATTCATTCTGAGTTCAATCAAGTTATTAGAAATATCAGACAAAATGACTTTATATATTCTTGAGAGAAACTGGTGGATTTAATAGTAAGTAACATGAAATTTCCAGATTAAGTGAGCTAATCTGATTTAATGGTAATTAAGATGATGATGATGATAATAATAAAGAGAGGTGTGTATTATACTTGTTGCTCTCATGATGAGTCTATTTGTAGTGAAGGAATAGTGACAAAGACAAAGTTTAGACTGCAAAAGAAAATAAAATGGTAATGTCTTGGGAATGAGATAAATTAGAAAGAAGTGAATAAAACTATATTGCCTTGTTTCAAAAAATCTACTTAGAATTACATAACTAAAATACTAATTGTATAATTAAATTTTGCAAAGCATAGTAGGAATACAAATGACTGAAAAATCTCCCTCAGGTATCAGTGATGAAGGAAAGTGACTTTAAATTGTGCAGTTATTCAGTTGTGAGCTTCCAAAAGACATGTCTCTATTGTTACATATTCATTGAAAAGGTAAACAATAAGTGGTGGAAAATTTAGCAGATATTGTGGCATAATCAGTAATTTCACATGAAACAGCAAACATAGGGGTCAAATCCATGACTATTTTATTTATTCATCAATTACTAGAACTTAAGTCAAGTATTATTTAAGCTCAATAGCCACCTGCAAGTCCACTATAATACTAAAATCAGTATTTAAGGGCAATGCATTACTCCTCTCTCATCTCTTAAATTCAAATCAGTTAATAATTAATGGTGAGTGGGACTCTGCCAAATTTTGATTTAATAACAATGAAAATATAATCTTCCCTAAACACAATTGAAGTCTGAGAGACTTAAGATGTTGCATACCCACTGAGATTCTGCTAATTTTGATTTTTTCTCCATGATGGCAAATTAAATCTCCCATGTTAAAGGCCTCAGATAATCTTTCCATTGCAATGTTTGCACTTAATTCTGATCATCTTTTGTACCGAAGATCTTGTTTTCATAGCTTCCCATGCCCTGCCCTTTTGGATTAACTATGCCTTGCTCTCTGTCCATCCCAGTCTTTATAGGTTACACTTGTAACCGTATTTCATAATTAACACATAGTCCATATTTCTAATTTAAATCTTTTTATTCCCTGAAATCTGACTTGCATAAGTTAATTACATTTTCCCTAGAGCTGTCTTGTCTAATGATTATTCTTTTTATCACTTCCCACATATCTCAGTTTTCAAAGCTATCATCAGAGGCCTTCTTACTTGTCCCAGACCATTGACTCTCCATTTTAAACATTTCTATTATTTATGTATTTAGACATTGGAGATTGAACCACAGACATTATGACTCTACTACTGAGCATCATCTTCAGTGTCTTCCTCCTGGCCAAACATTACTTTTTTTCTTTAAGAGAGCTTCTTGGGAACAGTACATTTCCCAGGCTGTCCTCAAACATTTGGGGATAAACATAGCCTCTCAAGTAGCTGGCAATACAGTCTTCTAGTACCACACCTCTCTTCATTCTTCTAAAGAACTGGTTCTTTAAGATTCAAAATATTTGCCAGAAAAATTATCTCTGTTCTTTCTATTGGCTATTGGGTTAACCTTTTAAAGTTGAAATAACTTCAAACTTGAGGAAAACTAGCAAAAAAGAGTAAAGAAAGAATATAAAGTCTTTTTGTTTTTTTATCCCCATGCTATGTGAAAATTTTAGCATGACTTGCAGTGTACCTCACACTCAAAACACATTAGTGAATAATTTCTACAAAGAATATTCTCTCATATAAGTAAAATAAGTAAAACTAAATATATATAAGGAAATAAAATTTACATTGTCAAAATACTCATGTATGAGTCACAGAACCTAATAATCTTTCATCTGTAGAGAAAAAAGACTCAAACTTCATCCATTGCATATTGTTGTCTTGCTTCTTAAGTCTACATCAAATGTGACGGGTGTTGGAGACTTTTCTTTGGCTTTGATGACTATGAAACTTTAGAAATTACAGGCTAATTATCTGGTAAAAGTTTTCCCAAATTTATGTTCACCTAATATTTCCTCACTTGTGGATTCTGGTGAAGCATATTTGACAAGAATTGCACTTATGTGGTGGTCCACAATTTTCCTTGTAATTTGTCTCTTTAATTCAATTGTTAATTTTGCTCATGTGATTCATGTGCTGTTATCCAAGTTTTTCTACTGTAGATGCCAAATTTTCCTTTGTAATGAATAAGACCTATGTGAGAAGATAAGCGGAGACTATGTAAATGGACCATTCATCATCAAACTTTTACTCAGTGCCTGTGGCATTTATTGTTGTTGCTTATCTGAATTAGACACCAGTATCACAGTTGATTTAATTCAATCATTCCTTCTATATCTATTAGTAAGCATTATAGTATGACAAATTTTGTATTTATTGATCAATATAAATGCATTTTATTGATTTTTAAAATAGTATAGCATATTCCCATGTCATTTTTTTTTTCTCTTGGTTGATGCTCAAATTATCCCAGTATTATTGTTCACTAAGAAAACCTTTAGACTGTTTTTTGTGTGTGTGTGTGTGTGTGTGTGTCCCTTTTGGAAATTTCCTAATTACCCCTTGAACACTTCTGTATTTTTCATAATAAGAGTTATTTTAGTCTCAAATCTTATCTTCTCTGTTTTATTCTGGAAATTTTCCATTTCTCTAAAGACACAGTTTTTGCATTTTTTAAATCTGGTCTATAGGTATGCTAATTCCTATTGGATTCTTGAGGCTCCAAGGTTTTCTTGTTGTGCAAAACTAGTGAACACACAACACACACACATATGCCTATCTTTAACTATAAATGAACTTGTATTTAAAAAGCATGAGATGTGGTTTCTGTTGTATGCTAAATCCAAAATGTAAATAAAGAGCAAAATAAGAGAAAGATAATGGGATGCAGGTAGATATTTTTCAAATGAAAGGGGGACAAAGTGATTGAGGGGGCCAGGAGGGATAGAGACAAAAAAGAATTAATATGTTTTATGGACATGTAGCAACTTGCCACAATAAATATAATGATTGTGTACTGCCAACATGTACAAATAAAAATTTCAAAATCAGATCAATGATGTATTTCCCAATCCAGTCAAACATACAAGTTTTATTCTAGACTTCACTTCTCACATTTGCAAATCTACTCACTAACAAAGTAACATTACCTATTGAATCAATTATTTCTTTGTAAGTGAAGATCTCACCACCTCTCACATCTTTTCCTCATCTGCCTCAGATTTCAATAACATTCCCAATCCATTGTTATTATCATGACTGAAACCCTACAGTAGTGTCTTCTTCAATCTGCATGTTCATCACTCACTTGCACCATATTGTATGGAACCTCAGATCTCCCTGTTCTTTTCAAAACCTTATCTCAGTGGCCACTTGCCCCGTCCTCCTAACAAAGAGGCTTCCCTTAATGTTTTGAACTGAATTATTTTGGAAAGAAGAGGGGGAAAAAAGGGAAAGGCAGAGTTGCTTTTAATATTTAATGTTTCTGTGGAAGTTTAGAAAGTATAGTCAGAGGCAGGTCTGTGCACGCCCTACTGAGGTCCCGAGTCACTCAGAAGACATCTTATCAGCCTGCTCCAGACAGGCAGTTCTGTGCACACCCTACCAAGGTCCTGAGTAGTGCTGAACACCAGAATCAGCCCACGCCCCAGAAAAAATCCACTGGACCCCCACACTCGCTCCTCTGTACAGCCACCTGGTTCTACACTACAAAGATGCAGAGGACACCAGACCACCAGACCATGGTACTGAGGCCCAGTGCTCCTGGCCCAGAGGTAGGGGCTTCTGAATCACCGTCCCACTGCTCCTGGTCCAGAGGAAGTGGCTTGCTGGACACCATCCCTCCCACTGCTCCCAGCCCACAGGAAAGGGCTTTTGGCCCACCATCCCTACTGCTGCTTCTGGCCCCTATTCCACCTCTCCCAGCTCAGAAGAGGTAATCTGTGCAGGCACCAAGAGCCCTCACCTCAGTTGAAATGAGAAAACACTTCAATAAGTCTC